CATTAGCAGTGACTTGAATAATTTAGATACATTTTGTATTGATCAGTTAAAGGGCAATTTGACTAGGATCATTGATACATTAATACCTTATTGATATTCCCTTTTCTTATGAAATACATTGTAACTCACCCCACCTCTTTCCTGCATATATATCCATCTCACTGAACTGTAAATCTATCCTGACGAGGTAGGGATTTATGAAAGTACTTAAGGAAATTCCTGTCTTAATCCTTCCTTCGTGGTCTGACACAAAATTGAGTGTGTGTATATATATATATATATATATATATATATATATATATATATATATATATATATATATATGTGTGTGTGTGTGTGTGTGTGTGTATCACGAAAATAAACACGTGATTAAGAATGTGACAATCAATTTTTCAATGACAATGAAATAAATATATATATATATATATATATATATATATATATATATATATATATATATATATATATATATATATATATATATATATATATATATATATATACCTGAGGGCCACTAACACTAGTGGCCCTAGTGGTTTGCAGTGTTGTTAGTCCTGTGGCACTCAACCGTTCCTGATTCGAGAGATAACTTAGCTCTGGAATGACTTTTGTTGCCCGGTGTTGCACTTTCTCCAGAGCAACTATGTTCTTCTGAAAGTAAGGTCTCCATTGCGTGGATATAAATCAACATTCCTATTCCCAAACCAGGTACTTCCCCAGGTCTTTCCTGAATCTAAATTTAAGGCCAGTGTGTTAAGACTCGGTTCACATTTGAGTGTTCAATTTTCCTCTCTCTAGTACTTCAACAGGGATATATTCACCAACAGGTATATCCAGCTTCTCGGAGTATATACACTGAGAATTTACTTGAAGTATGTCCAGAGTTAAAATATTCTTTGCTGGTTAGTTAGTAAGTCATTGAGGCGGCCATAAAAAACCTTTATGGGGACTGATAGAGACCTTAAATGTGGTCTCCAAATGTGGTACTTTGCCAGGAAGAAATGCTAGTGATGGGGACCTTTTGATTCGAAGATTCCTGCACTCTTGAATATCGGTGCTACGTTCGCTCTCCTCCTTGTCGTTGTCCCTTTATCTTGTGAGATGCTGTGTGTATTTCATAGCTTGGGTGCGTCTCCAAGATTATCTTCTAAAGCTTTGTTTGCACTTGGCGTCTACGTCCTCGTTCATTTCCCTACATCTTCCTACTGATCTTAGGCTAAATTAGTGTTTTCGTACATCATTATGGCTCATTTATCTCTCTAACTTCTTTTCTCGATGAAAACATTTAGTTACTCCTTCAAATATATTTTCTTTTATTCGAGCTTAAAAGAAAACGAACAATCCTTGAACTTTAATGGGTTAACTTATTTATTTTTTTAACCGGCGGCGACATTTGCTAATATAATAATAATTAATAATTCACTCTGTCGGGGACAGAAATCTTGTGACTATATATATATATATACGTTAGGCTTATATCGAGGTCACCCCAAGGTCGAATTACTGACCTTCCCAAGAAGCAGCTCCACAACATTTGACTAACTCCCAGGTACTATTCACTGCTAAGTGAACAGAGCCATTAGGTGATAGGAAACGGACCCAACCATTTCTGTCTCGCCCGAGAATCGAACCCAGGTTCCCCGATTGTGGGGTCGAAAACCAACGGCACTACGAAATATTATTCGTAACATGGGTACATAAACCAATTCAATACAGACCGGACAAAACAGGCTGTGACTTAGGCTCAACACTACAACAAAATAAACAATTGTAAATACTATTATTCGCCGTGATGAGCGGCGGTGGTTCACAACCAAAGTGTCTCGGATTCGATTTCCTGGCAGGGTGGAAACGTTTGGGCACCTTTCGTCCCCTCCTGATCACCTATCAGTAAATATAGGCTGCCAGGGAGGGAGGGAATTATCGGGAGAAAGCGCCAAGCCATTACGACTATATAGCACTGGGAAGGGATCGGGATAAGGATTTGGGATGGGACGGGGGAAAGGGAATGGTGCCTAACCACTTGTGGACAGTCGGGGGATTGAACGCCGACCTGCTAAAAGCGAAACCGTCGCTCTATACCGTCCAGCCCAAGTGTGAGGCTCCTGGGATGAAGAGGTCAGGTCAAGAGTGACTTAGAGACGACATTCAGTTGTCTTTATGTATTTTTTTTTTTTTTTTTTTTGAGATATATACAAGAGTTGTTACATTCTTGTACAGCCACTAGTACGCGTAGCGTTTCGGGCAAGTCCTTAATCCTATGGTCCCTGGAATACGATCCCCTGCCGCGAAGAATCGTTTTTTCATCCAAGTACACATTTTACTGTTGCGTTAAACAGAGGCTACAGTTAAGGAATTGCGCCCAGTAAATCCTCCCCGGCCAGGATACGAACCCATGACATAGCGCTCGCGGAACGCCAGGCGAGTGTCTTACCACTACACCACGGAGACTGCTATTATAAGTTATAACATTCTCACTAGATCCGGTGAGGAACATGCTTTTTCAATATTAATGTTACTGCTAATTTTGGTATTATTTAAATGCTGTTGGATGTCTGGGAATGAGGAAGAAGAGATCTGTGAGACACTAGACAACTGAGCTAAGCATATTAGCATATTTTGCGGGAGTATAATGAGGCAGAACTATGTTCTAGTGTGACAAAAATTGTCGTACTAGAAAATGGAAGCGGCTCGCGAAAGTGACGTACTGTCCCGTTTTCTGTTTTGGGTCCTCTGGTAGGTTAGGAGAGACTAATTTAAATTTAATGTTTTCTTGACGTTGGGAAACCTAAGAGAACGGGCTGGGAAATAGGGGTTGAAGACCTGGTAATGGTTTTAATTTTGTTCCACATTTCCTAGAAAGTTGTAGTTCTTTTGATATAACAGGAATGATGCCTTAACCACTTGAGCTGAACGTTAGAGCGACGGTCTCGCTTCTTGCAGGTCGGCGTTCAATCCCCGACCGTCCACAAGTGGTTGGGCACCATTCCTCCTCCTCCTCCCCCCTTCCCCCGTCCCATCCCAAATCCTTATCCTGATCCCTTCCAAGTGCTATATATAGCCGCAATGGCTTTGCGTTTCCCCCCCTGATAGTTCACTACTCTCCCTGATTGCAACTGTTTTTTTTTTAATATAATTGTTGGCAAATTGAGGCATTTCATCAGGTTCCTTAATTACACAAAGGGCCACTGTCCGTGAGGACGAACGATTGTTCTTTTGTTTTTTGTTTTAAACAAGTGTTTTAATAACCAATGATGACACTAATGAGATCACAACAAATGTAGTCCACTGTATACTTAGTCTACCACTTGTTGGTGTATACCTTCATGTGAGGTGTAAGATTATCTGGAAAATTATTTTAAACCCCTATTTCCCAGCCCGTCTTCCTACTAGTACGACATATATATATATATATATATATATATATATATATATATATATATATATATATATATATATATATATATATATATATTTTACCGAGAAGGGAGGTATACATTTCGCTGAATATTACGTTGGAGTCAATAACTTAAGTCAATGTAAAGCATTCAATATAGGCTAATTATGTAAAGAAAACTGGTTAAACATTATATTTTTAATTTTATTAATTTATTGGCAGACACTTTTATTTTCCAGTAAAACATATCAAACATTAAATTAATTCTCTACAAAATGACACACATTAGGGCTACATACATATTTCTTTTTTAAAGTAAAATACCTTGGGGATATTTTAATAGTAAAAAATAGTAAAATTATAATAAAATAGTAAAATTATCTTGGAGATAATAACAGGAATCACAAATATAATTATGGCCTAAAGAGTTGGACAGAACTGAGAGGAGAAGATTTGAGTCACGTAAAAGACTCAGCAGTTTGACAGCTGAGGATGCTGCATCTAGAACCTTTCCCTATTAAGTCTCCTCCATAGCTCGGTCGATAGAGCTTCACACGCGTGGAATTCGCTGTTCGAGTCTCCTAGAGGCCCAGGGCCAGATTCACGAAACAAGCACTTACGAACGTGTACATCTTTTTCTCCATCTTTGACGCCTTTGGTTACATTTATTAAACAGTTTACAAGCATGAAAACTTCTCAATCAACTGTTGTCATTGTTATAAACAGCCTCCTGGTGTTTCGGAGCTCATTAACTGTTTAATAATTGTAAACAAAGCCGCCAAAGATCGAGAAAAGATGTACAGGTTCGTAAGTACTTGCGTAACTACTTCGTGAATCTGGCCCCTGGTGTCTAGAATTTGAGTCTTGCTTCACGTGGAACCTCCAGACAGACGGAATCACTGTGAATAAATGACTTATTTTGTCCATAATCTACACAAGCACTTTGGTGAACACCAACAACTAGATTGATCAGGCACGAGTGTGTTATACACGTGAATTAGAACTCCTTATTAACTAAATATTTGTGTCAATGGAATCTGCTTGTAGGTAGGGAACGTCAGTATGTTTCCTAGAGCGGATCCAGAGGTCTGTTATTGCTTGCCAGGTGTACGGGATAGACAATCTCTTCTGCTTATCACCAGGATACAACCCCCCCCCCCCCCCCACAACAGTTGCCTAACTCCTGGGGGTGCTAGGTGCATCAGGTGAAAGGAAACATTGCCAAACGTCTTCGTTTAGCCGCGGGGAATCGAGTACCTGGACCTATCGGTTGTAAATATGATGCGCAGCCCACAGCGCTATATATATAATTTTGCATAAATGGAGTAATTCAAGTGAGTTTTATTGTTGTAAAAGATGGAGGTCATATTCACTGCCACAGAGGAGAGTGAGGATGGAGGTCATATTCACTGCCACACAGGACAGTGAGGATGGAGGTCATATTCACTGCCACAGAGGAGAGTGAGGATGGTGCTCATATTCACTGTCACACAGGACAGTGAGGATGGAGGTCATATTCACTGCCACACAGGACAGTGAGGATGGAGGTCATATTCACTGCCACAGAGGAGAGTGAGGATGGTGCTCATATTCACTGCCACAGAGGAGAGTGAGGATGGAGGTCATATTCACTGCCACACAGGACAGTGAGGATGGAGGTCATATTCACTGCCACACAGGACAGTGAGGATGGTGGTCATATTCACTGCCACACAGGACAGTGAATAACATTCATTAACGACATATTTCAACACTCGGTTTTAATTGCAACATTAACTTGTTCACACTCACACAAGCTAAACATTGTTCAATAAAAGTCGCATTTAATAACGAACATTATAAATCAAGTTAGAATATATGAATGGACATCTTTTACAATGCGAGATATAATGAAATAGTTACAATGTTCATTTGTAACTATTATTAAGAGGAAAACAATCTTGTATTGTTTGGCATTAAGTAATATAATGTTCGAGTGAATGATTTTAATGGTTTGTCACACAGAGTTTGCAATCTGAACATTCTGGTTATGGCTGAGCCTGAGAAACTTGTTAGATGATTGGTTCGATTGCTGGTTCGAACAGTGTAATTGTCTGGTTCGATTACCGTGCATGAGCACATCAATACCAAATTATTCCAAAAGTTGTCCTAGCTTTTAATACTGTAGCTTTTGAACTGTGATCATTTCCGAATACTTCAAAATCTGAGGTTGTCATTTTAATTTGTAGGTCGATAATATTTGCAATAGTGCAAAGTCAATTTCTATTTTTATTTCTTGCAAGCCTTATTGATCAGTCTATTGGTATCATTGGCAACAGTCTCATTTCGTTTATTGCAAGGTATTTCAGATATTAATATTGGTTAATAAAATGTCACTTAATTCCCCTATTTGCACTTAAAGGCTGCCTAGCCTTAAGTTATTGCAACTTCAAGCTAGCTCAAGTTCCAATATCAATATCTGAAATACCTTGCAATAAACGCTTTCCCCTGATAATTCCCTCCCTGCAATATCTCAGATTTATGTTGTATTTGCTTTGTCGTTCTATCTTTAATGTCTAGAATGCAATTATATCTATTTATTGTATTTGCACAACCTGTTATACTTATTTTTACTTGCGCAGAACCATCCGGAAAGGGCATGATTTAATTTAATTTATCATATTCTCTAATATAATGCCAATTTACCAAATTAATTCCTCCCAAGATTTACTCTCAAGGAGCCATAGAAACCACAGTCTCACAAGCCAAGAAGACTACATATGAGAAAGCACAGGTCACACATGTCTGTCTGCAACATGCAATTGAACATTGTGTAAAGTTTTCTGCATTATACTGGAACTCCCTACCATACACTCAACTATTAATTATAACTACTTCCTTACATGCTATGTTTACATTCTTGAAAGACAAAGAGTTATTCGGAGAAAGTGCTAAACCAATAGGAGTATATAGCACGTGGAAGAGATAGGACAAGGAACTGGGATAGGGCGGAGGGAAAGAATGATACGCAACCACTTGGACTATCGGGGAATCGAACACAGACCTGCAAGCATCAAGGCCGTCGCTGTTGCCCATTAGCCCAAGCAGATGGTTAAGAAAATATAATATCTTTCCGCCTTCAATAGGAAGCGTACATGGAAACCATTGCTGAAATACTCAAGAACAGAAACCCCATAATATTTCGCCCCCTAAGAATCTCAGTATACAGCAAGAAGGTCTCACACCTCCTCCTCCTCTTCTTCCGAATCTTGCAAGATATTTTTGGTGTGATCGGAGTCGAAGTCTGAGAGGGCCGTACGCTGAGAGTCGTAGAGGTAGGGGTCGTAGAGGTTGTGGTAGAGGGCTGAGGTGGGCAGCGCCTTGACGTGAAAGTAGATGACGGTTCCAGCCAAGGTCATGAAGACGAAGATGATGGCGTTGTGCCAGGTGAAGATGAGCGTTATTATCATCATCTCGGAGTGGTCGTGCTGGTTCCACGGCCTGTCCCACGGTGGGTACAGCACGAACCCCACCTGGTAGAACCATGTCCCCTGCGGGCCAATTCGTACAGCATCAGGAATACACTATAAAGCATTACATTAGTTAGCCCTTTTGGACCCCATAACTAGAAGAAAACGTTAACAGGGGGGACTCCTCGATTTATGTTGTGCGCCTAAGGTAAAGTTATTTTAATGATAAATCGCTCTCAGTATAGCTATATAGTGCCTGGAAGGAATGTAAGATAAAGGAAGGAATAAGATAAAGGAGCTTTGATAAAGGATGGAGGTAAAGGAAGGCGGCTCAATAACTTGGACCATCGGGGGATTGAACGCCGACCCTGCAAGAAGCAGTGGCCGACGCTCTACCATCTAGTCCAAGTAAATAGCTTAACTGCTGATGAATTTTTACTATTAGTGTAAGTCCAAACTTTTGGACTTACACTACTTGGACAGTAAGTCCAAGAATTGAACAGAAGAAAGTCCTCTTTGTACTCTGGACTATAACAACATAATGTTTACAATTTACAAGACTGTAATTACCATTTACTTACAAGACTGTAATTACCATATTTGTATCCTCACATTCCTTATGTACATTCTTGTATATGCATAAATAAATAAATAAATAAATAAATAAATAAATAAATAAATAAATGTTTGCAAAGCGGAACATTCTTCCAGTGGAAAATCTAAGAGGAAACGACGCATATTTTCTATTAGCTAAAGTCGACCTAATTGCCAAAAAGGTTGCGGCATAGGAAAGGGGGGGGGACGACCCCAACTCGCCTGTGAAGGTCCTAAATCTACGTCACTTTGGAATATAAATATTCCTAAGTGGCCGTAAAGTGGTGAAATTCTAGGGACATTGTCAGCCATCTTAAGGCGATCTGCGGAAGGGGGGGTCGCCATAGGATCCGATTTTTCTCCTAATGGGAGCAACCGGCCGACCTCGAACCCGATACTTAAAGATATAGTGAAGTAATTCTACTCAAAATATGTGTAACTTAATATTTGTTATTTGAAAGGTAAAATAACTCGTTATAAGAAAATACGCTATACTGATGACGTGTGAGCAGGCCCTAGTTGATGGTAGTCTAGTGCAGCGTCTTCCGATCCCTTCTGTTCCCTTCCTTAACCATCCCTTACCTTTCCATACCGTCCCTGTCTTTTCCTTACCTTCCTATTCCTCCCCCAATTCCATTACCTTCCCATGCCTTCTCTCCCCCTTTCTTAATCTTCCCTTACCTACCCTCCCCTTGCCTTAACTTCCCATACCTACTATCCCCATTCCTTTACCTTCCCATAACTTCCTTTCCCAGCGGCCTTCAGCAGAGCTCACCTGTAGGAGGGTGAAGTAGGCGCGGCCCAGAGCAGGGAGGACATTGGTTCTCTGACACATCTCCAAAACTACGGCCACTGCGCCCGCCACCACCACGTAGAACAGCAGCATGTGCACCTGTAACACGTGTATACATGTTGGGGTTAGCACCTGTGGACGCCACCACCACGTAGAACTGCAGCATGTGCACCTGTAACACGTATATACATGTTGGGGTTAGCACCTGTGGACACCACCACCACGTAGAACTGCAGCATGTGCACCTGTAACACGTATATACATGTTGGGGTTAGCACCTGTGGACGCCACCACCACGTAGAACTGCAGCATGTGCACCTGTAACACGTGTATACATGTTGGGGTTAGCACCTGTGGACACCACCACCACGTAGAACTGCAGCATGTGCACCTGTAACACGTATATACATGTTGGGGTTAGCACCTGTGGACACCACAGTAGTAGGGTTGACACGCCACAGACGATTTTTTTTTGGGGGGAGAGGACCCCTGTAGGGTTGACACGCCACAGACGATTTTTTTTTGGGGGCAGAAAATCGTCTGTAGCATGTCAGGGTTTTCAGGTGAATTTGGGGAGTCACAGATTTAGGATTAAGGATTTCTTATGAGCGAGTAATTTCCGAGACTTTAGAAGTTTGTTAAGGTTTCTTATGATGAAGATAAGTTCATACGAGTTTGTTAAAGTTCTTATGGGAGAAATTCAAAATATCCCCTGTAGCATGTCAGGTTTTTCAGGTGAATTTGGGGAGTCACAGATTTAGAAGTAAGGAATTCTTATGAGGAAAATAATTTCTGAGATTTTAGAGGTTTGTTAAGCGTTCTTAATAGGAAAATAAGTAGGAAAATCTTAAAGAAAAAACTTTAGAAAATATCGTGTTTGTGTCACAGCATTTCCGGGTAAACTCTATGGACAACCTTTGCCCGTTTTCAATCACACATTTTCAAAGAGCATTTTCAGAGAATATTGTCTTAGATGTTTTGTTAAGGAAAACAGACCACTTATCCATAACATTTAGTTTTATATCCATTTACTGCTATTTCGCCTGTAATCTGTGAAAACTTGACAGAGTCCATTTTATACCCAATTTTCGGCAGAGTCCAGTTTATGCTCAAATTCGCCAGAGTCTACTTTGAGAGCAAAATTAGTCAGAGACAGTTTTAAGCTCATATTTCATCAGAGTCCAGTTTTCTAGCAATTTTCATCAGTGTCCTGTAATCTGTGAAAATTTGACAGAGTTCAGTTCTTGATCGAAATTCATCAGAGTCCAGTTTTCTAGCAAAATTCGCCAGAGTCTACTTTGTGCCAAAATATTCAGAGTCCAGTTCATGATCGAAATTAATCAGAGTCCAATTAAAGACCCAAATTTGACAGAGACCACATTTTCGCTACTAGCAGTCCAATCCCCCTGAAATTTTAAACAGTCGTACTTCAAAGTTAGTAAATAAGATCAAGTCAGTTACTGAGCTCCAGCTCTTGTCCCCCCGCCCTCTTCCACCCTCAAGTCTTTAACCCATCAATTTCCCTGAAATTTTTACCCTCTGTATTTCAGACATAGTAAATATGAAGTAAACAATTATAAAACTCTAGCTCTTGTCCTCTGTATAAGCTCACTTTTGTAAATTCATTACTCTCAGTCCAAATCACCCAACTACATTTTCAGACATAGTAAATAAAAACCAGTTCAGTTATCAAGTTTCAACTCTTGTGCCCCAGCTTAGTTCATTTTGTACAAGTTCTTTATTTCCAACTATATCACATGAGATTTAAGATCACCTTATTTTCTAACGTAGTAAAATTAATCAGGGCATTAACCAAGCTCCATTCCCTCAGCCTTAGATCATCAGACATAAATATTTTCGATCAAGTCCGTCTCCAGCTTAACTCTTACCCTTTCCCTCCCTTACCTTCTCATCCCCAACTTATCCAAACCTTCAATAATCGTACTGTATTTGCATATTTTCTCTATATTCACTGTGTTCTTCGTATTCTCATCCGTGTTCACTCCATGTTCTTCAAATGTTCACAGTCCCATTCAGTTCATATTTTCACAAGTATCTCCATTTTTTATGTAATCTTTCTCTTAGTCTCATTATGTTCTCTACAAATTCTAGTCATATTTTCTATGTTTTCATATTCATCACATGTTCTCTTTACAACTTTTATACTCAATATTCATGCTAACTTCCATATTTTGTGTTCTTTGTCAATATTCATGTTCCTCTACAAGTTCATGTTCCTCACAAGATCACTTCGTTTTTTCACCTTCACTTACATGTTTTCTACATTCTTTGTCATATTCTCCATGTTCTTCACAAGTCCATTGTTCATTCTTCGTAATCCCTATTCTCCTTATCATGTTTTCATGTTCTCTGTAAGTTCATATTCCCAGCATGTTCACTATATTCATCAACTTTTCTTACATGTGTTCTTTGCCATGTTCCCCCATATGTTCTCTGGGTTTTCCCCTTACATGTTATTTAACGTTCCTTAACTAAAAAAATCTTTCGCCAATCAACTAAAACATAGTCACTTTCGTCATTTCTCAACTAAACCTATTATCCAGTCAACTAAAAATAGTCAGAAATAGCCTCGTTCAACACTATTCTTAACTAAAACAACCTTTCTCTTAGCTAAAAATTGTCAAAGGAAACTTTTTCAGCACTTTCTTAACAGGCGCTATGTTTCATCAAGAAAAATTGTCAAAGGAAACTTTCCAAAACTGTTCATAACTAGCTTTTATCCATCGTCAATCAACTAAAAATAATAACTTTCATCATTTCTTAACTAAACATATTCCCCATTCATCAGAAAATAACCGTGTTCATCATGTTTCATTGTCATTTCTTAACTAAAATTATCTGCCAATCATCAGAAAAAGTCATGTTCACCATGTTTAAGCTTTTGCTCAACTAAAAGTATTCATCGGTCAACTAAAAATAGTTACTTCATCATGTTTCCTTGTCATTTCTTAACTGAAATATCACTTCTCTCATCTGAAAATAGTCAGGATTAACCTCATTCAACACCGTTCTTAACTAAAACAGCCTTTCGCTTAGCTAAAAATTGTCAAAGGATTCTTTTCAACACAGTTCATAACTAACTTTATCCATCGTCAAGTAAGAAAATATAGTCAAAGATATCTATCATCGTCGTTCTTAACTGACATTTATACTTTGTGGAGCACTAAAATAGTCAAATGTAACTTTTTCAACACTTTCGTAACTAAAATTATATGTCGCTACGTAAGAAAAATAGTCAAAGGTGCTCTCCGTTACACCAAAGTTACTCTTCGAGAAATCAAAGACACTCTTCAATACATCAAGGACTTACTCAAAGACACCAAAGTTACACTCTAAGACATCCTTCGAGACATCAAAGACTTCCTTAAGACTTCAATGGGACTCTTCCATTCATCAAAGACATTCTCTAAGCCCTCAAAGTTATTCTCAGCACAATCAAAAGTTATTCCAAGACAACAAAAGTTATTCTCAGAACAATCAAAAGTTATTCCAAGACAACAAAAGTCATTCTCAGAGCTATCAAAATTATTCTCGGAGTCATCAAAAGGTATTCTCTAACTCACTTTTGGTCATTAAAGTTAATTTCTATGTTATAAAAGTTTGTCTCAGAGACATCTAAAGTTAATCTTAGAGTTATCAAATGTAATCTCTAACTCTCTTTTGTTCATCAAAGTTGATCTCAGAGTTAACAAAGGTAATCTCTAACTCACTCTCGTTCATCAAAGTTGTTTCAAAGACATCAAAGTTATTCAAAGAGCTAACAAAAGTTATTCTCAGAGTCACCTTCGTTCTTCAGAGAAACTTTCCAAAACATCTTTATTCATCAAAGTTATTCTCAGAGGCATAAAAGTCATTCTCAGAGCTATCAAACTTGTTCTCAAAGTCATCAAACTTATTCATCAAAGTTATTCTCAGAGGCATAAAAGTCATTCTCAGAGCTATCAAACTTGTTCTCAAAGTCATCAAACTTATTCACAGAGTCATCAAAGTTAATCTAAGACATCATTTTTCATCAAAGATATTCTCTCTAAACCATCAATGTTCTTCTCTAAGACATAAAAGTTATTCTCAGAGTCACCTTCGTTCGTCAGAGAAACTTTCAAAACATCTTTGTTCATCAAACTTGTTTTCAAAGTCATCAAAAGTTAATCTAAGACATCTTCTTTCATCAAAGTTATTTTCAGAGACATCTAAAGTTATTCTCAGAGCTATCAAACTTGTTCTCAGAGTCATCAAATGTTATTCTCGAAGTCATCAAAGTTATTTTCAGAGACATCTAAAGTTAATTTCTATGTTATAAAGTTATTCTCAGAGACATCTAAAGTTAATCTTGGTCATCAAAGTTGTTCTCTAAACATCAATGTTGTTCTCCAAGACATCAAAGATGTTCTCAAAATCATAAAAGTTATTCCCAGAGCTATCAAAGTTAATCTCAGAGTTATCCAAAGATATTCTCATGTCCACAAAAGTTATTCCAAGAGACGTCAAAGTTGTTTCAAAGACATCAAAGTTAATCTCAGAGTTATCCAAAGACATTCTCAGAGACATCTAAAGTTATTCTCTAAGACATCAAAGTTGTTCTAAGAGTTATCAAAAGTTATTCTCAGTCATGATATGTTATTCTCTAACTCACTTCCATTCATCAAAGACATTCTCTAAGTCCTGAAAGTTATTCTCTAAGACAACAAAGTCTTTCTCAGAGCTACCAAAGATGTTCTCTAAATCATAAAAGTTAATCTTAACTCACCTTCGTTCATTAGAGAAACTTTCCAATCCATATTCGTTGACCAGAGTTATTCTCAGAGTCATCAAAGCGATCTCTAATTCATCTTCGTTCTCCAAAGTTGTTCTCTAAGACATCTTCAGGCATAAAATTTCTCTCCAAATACAACTAGTTCAGCTTTTCATATCAAACTTACACTTCTGTTAAATATATTTTCTTAGACATTTTACCTTTTAAACTGTTCTCTGAACTACACTGTTCAAACCTACGTAACCTATCCTCTCTACCCAATGTTACTTAGTTAACTTAACCTTCATAACCTAACGTTACCTATCCTAACATAACTTACCTTACC